AGCTACTTGGAAGGCTGAGGCGGAAGGATCACTGGAGCCCAGCAGGTCGACACTGGGGTGGCTGTGAGTGTGCCACTGCATTCCAGCCTGGGCGACAGAGTAAGATTCCAACTCAAAAAAAAGAAAAGAAATAACTTCTTTGTGGGTACTCAAGGAATATATACATTCATTCTAGAAAAAAGCAGGTAGAGTGAGTGTTCATGTTATTTGAATGTATTCCCCCAACCCCTCTCTGTACCTTCTGACCCATTTCCAATACCCGTTCTAATTCTGGGCCTGTGTGGTTTCTTGCCCAGCTCCTTACAGGAACAAACAGCAGAATGTTTTGTTTCATTTTCAATAACCGTCTACATAACAGTTTACAACTATTGACCATCTTTCTGGACAAGGCAATCAGTTTGGCCAGTGTCTTCAGAGAAGTTCAATTTATATGAGCTAAAACAAATCCAAGGGCACATAGGGATTTGTTGAAATGGGTAAAATACAAACCCTCAAGTTTTTGATCTTAATTCAAACTGTTTCACTAGGCCAGGGGATGTGGCCACTTTTTATTCACAAACTTTCCTAAGAACTCTGGACATTCTGTTCTTTTTACTTAAATGAATTAGAGGCAAAAAATTAGGAGTCCTGACATAGACCATCCACTTTGCCTCCTGGCCTTGGCTAACGACTACGTTAGCCAGGACCTTCCCACATCAACACCCTTCCCCAAGTCGGTTCCTACCCAGTCTTCCCGACACTATCCACATGCTGTCTCCCCTGGGAAACTTTGTTTTTATCTCCAAGGCATATTCCCCACCCCTATATACCCAATAACCAGCACTTAATCTCATTCAGTTGCCAATTTCTCTCACCTAATTTGTAATTGGAGTTTATATACTTTTTAAAACCTAATTTGTACCTGATAAGTATGCAGTAATACTTATTTCTGAAAAAAGTTGTGCCCTTGAGCTTTTAAACTTGGCAGTTTATTTTACAATCTCAAGCATGGTAAAAGTTTAAAAAAATAGCGGGCTCTGTGCTTTGGCATTGAACTAATGTGGGTTTGGCATTCAGCTCTAGTACTAATGCCTGTGTGACCTTGAACGTAACATTTGAGACAGTGTTATCATTTGGAAGATAAAGACCTGCTTCACTGTGAGGAGTAAAGCAAGCATAAAAGTGCAAAGCGCACTACCTGTTCAAGTTCCTTTCCTTTTTTTTTTTTTTTTGAGTTGGAGTCTCATTCTGTTGCCCAGACTGGGGTGCAGTGGCTGCTCCTGGCAACCATAGCCTCAACCTACTGAGCTCCGGCAATCCTTCCGCCTCAGCCTTCCAATTAGCTGGAACTACAGGCATGCGCTACCACGCCCAGCTAATTTTTTGATTTATTGTAGAGATGAGGTCTTGCCAAGTTGCCCAGGCGGGTCTCAAACCTGCGGGCTCAGGCAATCCACTCACCTCAGCCTCCCAAGGCGCGGGATTACAGGCTGAGCCACCGAGCCCAGCTCAAGTTCTTTTTCAATAAGTGTCAGTTACTGTTACACTTTAGAGTAATTCAATTTCATCAAAAGGAGTGGTTTAACCAAAAGGAAAGAATATTGCTAATTGATTGACAATAACCCAAAACCTACCTCATGATGATATGCAATTTCTCTACTTTGAGATTAATCTGTAATTTATACTTAATATTTGCTATCTATTGCTCTCTACCTATACAATATCAAAGTAAATCTAAAATGGTTTGAAAATGTATGACTCTTTTTAAACACTCTAATAAAAACCTAGAGATTTGAAAAATAAAAGAATGTTGGCACCATCTAAGGGAGTATCTTTTATGCCAGGAAATTAGTAGTACAGTAAATCTCACTGATTAAGACTCCATTTTTAAAGCCAGGCTCGGTGGCTCAGCCTGTAATCCCGCGCCTTGGAAGGCTGAGGTGAGTGGATTGCCTGAGCTCACAGGTTCGAAACCCACCTGGGCAACTTGGCGAGACCTCATCTCTACAATAAATCAAAATGAGCCAGGCATGGTAAGTGCGCACCTGTAGTTCCAGCTACTTAGAAGGCTGAGGCGGAAGGATCACCGGAGCCCAGCAGGATGAGGCTGCGGTGGCCAGGAACGGCCACTGTCCTCCAGTGTGGGTGACAGAGTGAGACTCCAACTAAAAAAAAAAAAAAAAGACTCTATTTTTAACCTCTAGGAGATTGGTAACTTTGGTTCATCCAAATCTCTAAGCATTAAATTTAAAATGGCTTAGAAAGTATTTTCAAATTACTTAATAGTAAATTAGCTTCTGAGCCAGTAAAGAATTCAGTAATCGTCAAGTGTTTAAAGTCTTTTTAAGACCCTCAGACAGGCACCAAGATCTCAGAGATGAGTGCAGCCCAACTTCACCTGAGAAGACCTGCAGACAACACTCACTAACAAAAACTCTCTAATGAACTTTTTTTTTTTTTTTTTTGGAGAATACTTTGAAGGTGATTAAAGTTTAAATATATTAAACTAAATACACAATTTTTTTTCTCTTTTGAGTTGGAGTTTCACTCTGTCGCCCAGGCTGGAGTGCAGTGGCACACTCACGGCCACCACAGCCTCGACCTGCTGGGCTCCACGATCCTTCAGCCTCAGTCATCCAAGGAGCCAGAACTACAGGTGTGGCTACCACGCCCAGTTGATTTTTTGATTTATTGTAGACACCAAGTTCTCACCATGTTGCCCAAGCGGGTCTCAAATCCGCGGGCTCAGGAAATCCTCTCACCTTGGCCTCCCGAAGTGCTGGGATTATTGGCTTGAGCCAATTCCGGCCGATAGACAATTTTTTTTTTTTTTTTTTGAGTTGGAGTCTCACTCTGTCACCCAGGCTGGAGGGCAGTGGCACACTCATGGCCACCGCAGCCTCAACCTGCTGGGCTCCGGCAATCCTTCCACCTCAGCCTTCCAAGTAGCTGGAACCACAGACTCATGCTACCACGCCTGGCTAATTTTTTATTTATTGTAGAGATGAGGTCTTGTCAAGTTGCCCAGGTGAGTCTCAAACCCACAGGCTCAGGCAATCTTCTCACCTTGGCCTCCCAAAGTGCTTGGATTACAGGCTGAGCCACCAAGCCCGGCCGACAATTTTTTATAAATAAATTCTGTTTTGGGGATCCCCCATATATACACATATACATTCATATATACATATATATACATATAATATATATATACATATATATATATATATATATTTTTTTTTTTTTTCCCCTCAACCTCTACATGCTCTAAATCAGAAGCCATTCTAGGTACTGAGGGATGCCAGGATGAATGAAAAAATGTATTCTTACCCTTGGAAAGCACTCAGCTTGGATTTGCAAAAATGTAATATTTTAAGCCTCTCACAATTAGAGTAGGCACTAATTCATAGCTGAAAACAAAGACTTAAGAAAAAATGGGATAGAGGCAGAAGACAAAACCACTGAAGATGAAGAAAAAAGGAAAATGGGGCACAATCCTGGCCTTGGGTATCAGAGACTCATGTAAATTCCAGATTGACCAATTATCAGCAATGTTAAAAATTTCAGGTTTTAGGCCAGGCACAGTGGCTCTGCCTGTAATCACAGCACTTTGGGAGCCTGAGGCGAAAGGATTGCCTGAGCAACTTGGTGAGACCTCATCTCTACAATAAATCACAAAAACTAGCCAGTTGTGCTGGTTTGCATCTTTAGTTCCAGCTACTTGGAAGACTGAGGCAAAAGGATCGCTTAAGCCCAGCAAGTCAAGACTGTGGTGGCCGTGAGTGTGCCACTGCACTCCAGCCTGGGCAGCAAGAGTGAGACTCCAACTCAAAAAAAAAAAAAAAAAAATTGCAGGTTTTGAAATTGGTATGTATTTTCCAGTCTAAAAGTTTATAAACAAAATGTGCCTTATTTCATAGGGTTCTTAGGAAGATCAAATGAAAACACCGATAAAAGTGTACAGAACAGTGCTCATCACTGGGATGCACTATGTATATTAGTTTTCTTAAATTCCCTTAACGAATATTCAATATGATATTGTTAATATCATTTATATTAATACAAATTTTGTCAATACAATTTTGATCATGAACATGATAATGCTGGAAGACAGAATGAAGCAGTGGGATCAACAAAGAGAGTAAAAGTTTTCAGACCAGCAGAGCTAAAGTCAAATTAAGGTTCCAGATCTTGCCAGCTGCTACCCCACCTTAAAGAAGTTATTATTTTATTTTATTTTTTTTTTGAGTTGGAGTCTCACTCTGTCACCCAGACTGGAGTGCAGTGGCCGCCCTTGGCCACCGCAGCCTCGACCTGCTCCGGTGATTCTTCCGTCTCAGCTTTCCGAGTAGCTGGAACTACCACGCCCGACTAATTTTGATTTATTGTAGAGATGAGGTCTCGCCAAGTTGCCCAGGTAGGTCTCGAACCCACGGGCTCAGGCAATCCACTCACCTCAGCCTCCCAAAGGAGCAGGATTACAGGATGAGCCACCAAGCCCGGAAAAGAAGTTATTTTATCAACTTGGATAAGTTCTTACACCAGACTGCAAAGATTAAATGTTAGTGATAAGCCCTTGACACAGTGATTGACACTCCTCAAATATTCACCCTTCAAGACCCCTATATCAATGCATTTTCCAGCTGTGCTGAGCACTTGGGTTTTAGCTGCACAGCATACAAGCCCTGTGCTAACATGGGTCCCTCCCCCTTTCCCTCTCCAAGGGTGAAGGGAGGATGGTATTCCCTTTCCCTGCCCTCTGGCTAGAGCAAGATTTATGGTCTAAGAACAGCTAAACCGATTCCCCCTCCTAGGGCTCCAACTTCCCAGGATGGTGGGGCCTATGGCAGGATCTCAGCAGTGTCTAGGCACCCTAGTCCTATAGCAACTTCTCTCATCAATTCTGTGAGCTGCCTGACACCCATTCAATACATTCATTTTCTACTTGAGTAAAGAGTCACTTCCTGTTGTTTCTAAACATGAATCTTAACTATTATATTTTTGTAAAATTAATAGACTAGAAGTAAATTAATATCTGTGCCATGATATTATTTTAATATCTTTTTCTCCATGACTGAAAATATAAATATAATGGAAGTAATGTATTTTTCTTCTGTAAAGATGGGTGGAATACATCAAAATCCACTTGCTGAATTTTCTTTAGATAGTCCTCTAGATAAACCTGGAAAAAAAGAGAATAGTGGTCACTAGATTATAAAATGATCAAGTCTTTAAAACAAATTGAAGAAAAATCACAATTATTAAAGCTATTTTAGTTTCCCTGAGATGGTCTTCTACATAATAAGAATTTAAGTGAGAATTTTTAGAGAGAAGAGAAAGGTTTCCCCTAGGAAGTTTCTATTAGGCCTGTAAAAGAATATCACAGGGCTAGTACTAGAAATATGAAGCCTTGCCAGGCTCAGTGGCTCAGCCTGTAATTCCGCGCCTTTGGGAGGCTGAGGTGAATGGATTGCCTGAGCTTGTGGGTTCGAGACTCACCTGGGCAGCGAGACCTCATCTCTACAATAAAAATCAAAAAATCAGCCGGGCGTGGCAGCACATGCCTGTAATTCCGGCTACTCGGAAGGCTGAGGTGGAAGGATCACGGGAGCCCAGCAGGTCGAGGCTGCGGTGGCCGGGAGTGGCCACTGCACTCCAGTCTGGGCAACCGAGTGAGACTCAAACTCAAAAAAAAAAAAAGAAATATGAAGCCTTCTTCTGCTCATAATATACAATGCTCTGGTCAAAATATAAAAGATTAGCAGAATTATGTTTGCCTGGCCTTGTTATTAGATTCTATGGAATACAAAAAGGCTGTTTCAATCATGGAAACGAAACACTCCCACCTCCCCATCCTCCAAGTGCAGTGTGACCAAAGAGGGAGCTCAAGTTGTCTTTTAAAAAAATTAATTTTGTGAAAAAACTGAATAAGTCTCCATGTTGTTGCCAGAACACATGACTTGCTTTTTTTTTTTTTGAGCTGGAGTCTCACTCTGTCACCCAGGCTGGAGTGCAGAGCATGTCACCCATCTTTTCCTCACCACAAAAAACTTGAAAAAGTTTTCACCAGGATAGTGGCAGGATAGAAAACACCAATAATGAGCAGTATCACTGTTTTTTGGTTTTCAGTGATCTTTATTAATTTGTAAATCATATTATTTTAATAACGTTTTTACCAAACAGGGAGTTAACTTAGTTTTGTACTCCACAATTGGAGGAGGTACCACGCCCTCCTCCAGCCATGTGTGCAGCGCCCCCTGGAGTTCTGCAGCATGGACCCTGGGCGAGCCGACAAAGGAGAGGGATCATGCCTACAGATTTTTTAGGATAGACAAGAAAAAATAAACCAAAAAGTACTGCATTTTCTCCCAGACTTTTTTCCTATAGGTTTATAAACATATGAGTGACATGCAAACAATTTCACTATCTGCTTTTTCAAACTTTAAACTTACATATATGGACAACAGGAGACATGCACATGGATGTGCCCAGTTGCCTTATTTTATATTACAAAAAGCTTGCCTTAGAAACAATTCAGAAATTCTAGGACCAAAAAAAGATAAATACAATGAAATATGATACTGCAGTGAAGTGACTATGATACTGCAGTGATAGCTAAAGGCAGTAATACACACACATCTCAGAAACACTGAGAATGTGCACATGTTCAGGAAGACACAAACAGAAAACGATCCATTGTAACAAAACTCAAAAGCAAAACAACGTATTGCTTAGAAATATATAAAATGAAGAAATCATCTTAGAATAAAAGCAAGGGAACACTACACATAAAATTAAGGGCAGCTTCCTGAAAGAAGAAGGCAGAGGAAGGAGATGGGGAGAACAAAAGTTCATTTTAAAGGTGATGTTCTAGTTCCTGGCTTGAGTGGAGAATTCATAGGTGTTTACTAAGCTATACTTTGTAATACGATACACACATATAGGTAGATCATATTCTTTTATATATTGCAAATATTAATTTTAAAAGATCAAAGAAAAACTTTGAAAATATGTCCGTGTACGCCACATGGTCTTTCTAAAAAAAAAACCTTAGTGTACTTCCTGTCACATGTTTTTTTTTTCTTGCAAAAAGAAGCTTGTAGCTGTAATCCCAGCACTTTAGGAGGTGACTGCCTGAGCTTAGGAGTTCGAGACCAGCACGGGGAATTTGGCGAGACCTCATTTCTACAAAAAATTTAAAACTTAGAGGAGTGTGGTGGCGCACACCTGTAGTTCCAGCTACTTGGAAAGCAGAGGTGGAAGGACTGCCTGAACCCTGCCAGTCAGGCTGTGATAGCTGTGAGCGTGACACTGCACTCCAGCCTGGGCGACAGAGTGAGACTCCGACTCCAAAAAAAAAAAAAATTAACGAATTACTATTATAAGAAAACCCAATTAAAAAATAACATTAACACAAAGACCTGAAAACTAAGATAGAAGATGGGAAGGGATAAAAATGAATCTTTAAATACATTTTGGGGGAGTCAAATGTGGTGGCTCACACCTGGAATCCCAGCACTTTAGGAAGCCAAGGTGGGAGGGTCACTTGAGGTTGGGAGCTTGAGATCAGCCTGACCAATATACTAAGACTTCATCTCTACAAAATATAAAAAATTAGACAGGCATGGTGGCATGCACCTGTACTCCCAGTTACTTGGGAGGCTGAGGTGGGAGATCACTTGAGCCCAAGAGGTTGAGGCTACAGTGATTACATGATTACACCACTGCAATCTAGCCTGGGTGACAGAGGAAGACCCTGTCTCTTAAAAATATACACACAGGCTGGGCGCAGTGGCTCATGCCTAGAATCCCAGTACTTTCGGGAGCCGAGATGAGAGGATTGCCTGAGCCCACGGGTTCGAGACCAGTCTGGGCAACTTGGCGAGACCCATCTCTACAATAAATAAAAAAATCAGCTGGGCGCACACCTAGAGTTCCAACTACTTGGAAGGCTGAGGCGGAAGGATCACCTGAGCCCAGGAGGCTGAGGCTGCGGTGGCCGTGAGCATGCCACTGCACTCCAGCCTAGGTGACAGAGTAAGACTTCAACTTAAAACAACAACAACAACAATAAAAAGCACACACATATATTTCAGAGAAAAACGGCAGGAGATACATTTGGTATTTAAAAAATATAAGTTAAGAGTTTTCAAAGATTACAAATCACTGAAACTTGGTTTCCATCCATAAAATCTAGTAACCATACCTAGATTTATTCCTAGAAAGCCTAGCAATAATGTATGGAATGGCCTAGCTCAGGGCCTATCCCACTGTAGGTGCTAAGTAGTTGGCAATGATTATCATTTCTCTATATGTTTTAGAGCAATAGTTCCCAAACTTGGCTACACATCAGAATCACCTGGGGAACTTTTTAAAATCACAGATTCGGTGAGAGCACACTTTTACTTGTACTGAAAGCTGTGCTTCCTGTCTGTTAAACAAACAAAGAAACACATAAATAAATAAAATCACAGATTCATCTAGGAACTGGTCTCCTCCTTAATGCCAAGAGTCTTATTCAGTAAGAAGACTCCAGAAACCCCTGTTTCTTAAAAGTTTTCCAGGTTATTCCATTGCAGCCAGTTCAGCAATGGTCTGTGAAGCACAGTTTGGAAACCTGTGCTACAATATGGTCAGGCCACTATGGAGAAAAAAAAATAACAGAATAGTAATACTCACATAGCTATAATTAGTCTAACAGTCCTGCAAGGCAGTTTCTACTATTATTCATGTTTCACCTATGGGTAAACTGAGGAACATAGTGGTTATGGAACTTAGGTCCCATTGCCAGTAAGGGGCAGGGCAGATTGAAGCCAATGCAGTCTGGCTGCAGAGTGAGTGGTAACAGCAACTCAGTTCACCTGCCTCCATGAAACACAGAAATGACCATCACTAAAAGCATCATATAACAGTTCAGGGGTCCTCAAACTTTTAAAACAGGGGGCCAGTTCACTGTCCCTCAGACCGCTGGAGGGGCGGACTATAGTTTAAAAAAAAAAAGGAATTTGTTCATAGTTTTTTTTTTCAACTATAGTCCTCCCCTCCAACGGTCTGAGGGACAGTGAACTGGCCCCCTGTTTTAAAAGTTTGAAGACCTCTGCTAAGCCATTAGTTCAAGAACAACCTGGGCAACATAACAAGACCTGTCTCTGCAAAAAAATAAAAAAATAAAAATTAGCTGGGTATGTTGGCAACTAACCTGTGGTGCCAGATACTTGGGAGGCTGAAGGAGAGCTCCAGAAACTCGAAGCTGCAAAGATTGCAGTGAGCTATGATGGTGCCATTATACTCCAGCCTAGGTGACAGAGCAAGACCCTGTCTCAAAAAACAAACAAACAAACAAAGCAAAACAAAACAAAACAAAAAACCC